TGAGAATAGTAGGTGGTGTTAAGGGTTGCTCTTTTAAAAATGTGTTCTGGAAACCCTAATCCTTATACCTGGATAGAATATTATTTAGAAATATTTGTCTACTGTTAGTGAGTTCATAAAGTGAGTAGAAGCCGATTAGGCCCTGAGGCAAGAACACACAAGAGGAAAAAGGCTGGCACCATTGGGAGGGCACCAGGACCTGAGGAGCAGACACTGAGAAGAGACAATGCCCTTGCTCCAGAATTGAAACAGAAGGAAAGGCTTCTTCTCTTCTTTCCAATGTCCTGATGAGGACTTCCTGCCTCTGAAACTGCTAGCAAATAAGTTCTGTTCTTTATAATCAGCTACTTAGTAGTATTTATATTACAGCAGCCTTAACTTAGAAGATGTACAGCCCGAATGCTCCTTAGGAGCAAGGATGGTGAGACTTTGTCTCATGCGCTTTGGACATGGGATCAGGAGAGACCAGTCCCTGGAAACGACATCATCCTTGGTAAAACAAGGGCAGGGGTGGGGCAGGGGGAGGGAGAAGGCACTTAAGGAGATGGATGACAGAGTGGCTTCAACAATGGCCTCAAGCACAGGAACAACTGTGACGATGGTGCAAGAGGTGGTGAAGTTTCATTCCGTTGTGTATAGGATTGCTGTGTCAGAACCAATTGGATGCCACCTAACAACAATAACAACAACAACAACAACAACAACAACAACAGACCACTAAGACAAGTAAAGACTGCCATAGAGGAGTGACAGCTTCTTTTCCAACATGCAGACCTACAATCTGAATTCTGAATTATGCTTACTACACCAGAGGCTTTATTAAAATTCTGACTCATTTTGGAAATGTTTAGTAATACGTTTCTACATAATTGTTCTTTTCAAACACAAAATTTTCATTTGGTGTTTCTTCTAATCTTTCTATCTTCTCTCCCTATTCCAGAGTGCTAATTATTATTATTTCCATTTTGTTGTAGGATACATAAAGCTTCAACACACACAGTAGCAGACGGTAAGGTGAGGTCAGACTGAGAGATGAGAAAAATATTTCTGAGATTCTTACCATCAACTGTGCCAAAAGTAAATGCAGATTTGATAAATGACACAAAGTCATTACCTCTCCATTTCCCTTTCTGCTGATTCGGTTTTTACAAGAGCCCAATTTTCCATGGAAACAGATCAGATTTACAGCAAATACAAAGATTGCATCTTTTATTTATAAGGCAAAAAATCTACCCAAATACTTTTCATTAAAATTGGTTTCCCTGTAATACTGCCTTTCAGAGTATTACTGAAGCATTACATAACTTTTGTTTTCCCTTTGGGAACTAATGAGCAAAGACCTTGAGGGCTCATCTTCCTGGAACAGTCTCTAGACTTCCAGTTGTGGCTCGATTACTGGATTCGGTTTGATAATGAAGTTTTAGGATGAAGCTGTGAGGTGTGTGAATATGCTTGCCATCCTGCCTCTACTTCAAGGGAAATATATTTTGTGAGAATACCTTCTATCCTCAGTTCAATTCACAAAAATTAGCAAAATAATGTTACTGATCAGCCATAACCAAAATGCAAAAATATCTAGAATCCTATCACACCCATTGCAAATGTTTTCCAAAAATTAACACCCATTGAGAAACTTTCCCAAATATTAACTAGGTAGTAAAGGAATCTGCAATGACAAAGAGTTTGAGACAAGCTGGCAAGTAAAACCTAGATCTGAGAGTGGAGTTGCGGGGAGGGTGCCTGCCCATTTGGTGCACATTCCATGGATGCATAGAGGGAGCACCACCCAGAGGACTGGGCTCACTAGGATTCTTCTGAGTGGAAGAATCTGATTGGAGGGTTTTTGAGCACTCATAGTGCTGCAGAGCCCTAGCGCTACAGTGGTTATGCTTTGGGCTGGCATCTGGAAGGTCAGCAGTTCAAAGCCACCAGTTGCTCCATAGGAGAAAGGGGAAGTTTTCTACTCCTTTTTACAGTCTCAGCAACTCACCAGGGCAGTTCTACCCTACCCTATAGGGTAAATACAAGGTCACTATGAGTCAGCATTGACTCAATGACAGTGAGTTTGGTTAGGGTGTTGGAATGGTGCGTGGTAGGGTTATTGTGAGCTGGAATCAACTCCATGGCAGAAGATTTGGTTTTGGTCTTAGATTGGAGCTTAGACTTTATATTGTAGCCTTCCTTATGTGGTACACTGGGTTAAGTTCTTCAGATCAAACCCGCCAGCCACTCCATGGGAGAAAGATCACCTTGTGTACTCTAAATATCAGGAAGTCTAATGAACAGCTCTTCTGAGTGGAGCACTGGGGTCCAAAAAACCTGATGCTCAACTGCTAACCCTAAGGTCTTTGTTTCGAACTGACCAACCTTTGGGAGAAAGATTTGACCCAGGGATCATAGCCGTGGGGGTCCCGAGAAGCCTTGCTATGGGGTCACGAGGAGTCAAAATGGACTCCAGGGCATTGGGTAGATTAGAGTCCCTGGATAGTGCAACAATCAGTGCTATCAAGTGCTAACCAGGAGGGTGGTAGTTAGGAAGAACATTGGGCAATCTATATCTGAAATATTAGCCCTTGCAAACTTCATGAAGTACAGTTCTACTTTGCATGTATGATTTTGCCATGACTTAAAAATGTATTCGGTGGAAACTCCACCACCCCTTACGCCCCCATGTCAGTGGAGATAGGTATTCTTAGGTGATGCAGTTAACATGCTCAGCTACCAACCAAAAAGGTTGGCAGCTCAGTCTACTTGAAGTGTTGGACTTGGAAGGAACCTTGGAAGGAAGGCCTAGAAATCTACGTCTGAAAAATGGATCACAATTCTCTTTAGACACGCATAACGTTTCCATGAGTCAGAATCGACTTACTAGCAGAGAGTTTTTTCAGACAGATAATTTCTATGACCTTAATTGAATGCTAGTAGGGTTTTGTTTTGTTTAGGTTTTTCCCCCCCATAAAGATGAGGAAAGAATGGAAAAAGGTATAAGAAGAATGAGAGTTAAACAATGTTCAAACGCTGTGTTTTTCACTGTTTAGTGGTAGCATTTAAATATCAGAGAATAGATCTTTAATGTTTACTTCATTATGCAGGACATCATGCTTGGCTAATTAGAGGGTCTCTACTTAAAAAGAAGATTCTCAATGAGATAAATTTACACCGTGGGTACAACGGGTTTAAATGTAATAATCGTGAGGATGGAGTAGGCTCAGGCAGAGTTGTATTCTGTTGTACACAGTACTGTTGTGAGTTGGAGCTAACCCTACTGCACCTAATAATAATAATAATATGTATATTCCAGAGAAGCTATGGTAGTGCTATGGTTAAAGCAGTCAGAAGCTAACTGGAAGGGGGGCTGTTCAAACCCACTGGCCACTTTACTGGAGAAAGATTTACAGCCTTGGAAGGGCAATAGGGTGGCTCTACTCTGTCCTATAGAGGCATCATGAGTCATAATCCACCCATTGGCAATGAATTTTTTTACAATATATATATATTCCAAGAATCCCTGGTGGTACAGTGCTTAAACCTACAGCTACTCCCTGAAGAGGTGGTTCTACGCACAAGGCATCATATTTGTTTTGTTCTCTTTGGCATGTACAGTCCAATGCTTTCCATAGCTTCAAGCAAACTCAGCCGGAACATCTAGTCACTCCTGTTGAACTCCAAACATATCTCTAAGACTGGGGGGGGGGGGGGGGTTGCTAGGAAGCCTACCCTACGCAAAAATTATAAGGAAGTACTTACTCTTTAAAACAGTGATTCTCAAACTTGTGGCTACCAATCCCAGGAGCATATTACTTAAATGCAGATTCTAATTCAATAGGTTTGGGATGAAGCATATCTAATGAGCTCTCAGATAGTGTGGATACCACCACCACACTCTGAGTAGGTATCAGGCAACAACATGATCATTTATCTTTGACAGCAACTCTGTTCTTTCCACCTTATCTTCACGCTCCTATATCCCGAGGACCCGCATTCTTCTCTCTTTCACAAGTGTGAGAAATATTTAGGTCCAAACATTTAAAAGAAAACAAAGCATCCTAAAATTATAACGTCTATTTGAACAACAGTAAGATTTTTTAAATCGTCTCAAAGTTAAAGGCACAATTTTATATGCATGAAGTATAATTCATATGTGTCAAAAACATGTCTCTATCCTTGAGACAGGTTTTTAAAATGGGAGTTAATTTACATGCAAATCATGGTGAAAATGCACAGTGGCATATTCCTTTCCATCAATGAAATCTTACACCTGGGTAACTGACAATCAATGTGGGTAATGAATGCACAGAAGCACCTCACCATATTGTGCAGCTACTTGTAGAAGATGAATAAGTCATATTTTCCAGATATCTGGGTTAGACTTTTAAGTTTCCAAACACATGTCTTCTACCTATTTTCATTGATTTTATTTTTTTAGAATTAATCTAACAAAGATACCTGTATAAGCGAAGTTTTTTCAGCACATTTTTTATGCCATTTCTGTGGTAAAATTAGGTGCCTTGGCTGATAGTCGGGTCGGCTTATACTCAAGTATATACAGTATGTTTGGCAGAACAAAACTACATTGAACCCATCTGAAATTACTGAGGGTCAACGATGATTCTGTGCTATGACATAACCCTGCTGAGGGACTCCTGTGACCCAGATGGGACTGTATGCTCGCTTGTAGACAGGAAGTTTCAAAGTTGCTTAAGGTTCCTTGGTCAGTTGAGAGAAGTGTTTTACCCCTTCTCTCCACATCACCTCACACCGCTCTCTGACGGCCCTTCCCTCACAATTCCTCGTCTGCTGCTCGAATGCTATCATAATATTCTGGGAGAAACTCGGAGACGAGTTCACTTCTCCCTTCTCCTGCATTTTAAACGCCGGAGCTTTCTTTGTGGGCTGCGAGCCACTAGCTAACCTGAATGAATGCAATAAGCCCCGTCGACGTGAGTCACCCGTGGAGATCCCTTTTGAAACACTGCTTGATATGACCACTGTATACTCACTGATACCAGTGTCCTTACAGTACTGGACCAAGTACTGTCCCATGACTTTCAGTAGATGAGTGTATTCTCGGACATTGAGAAATTCCTGTTTGTTATGAGATGGTTCCATAATCTCCAAGGGGATATTAACAATTCCAACCACTCCTGCACCAAGTCTGGGGGATTAAATGCATATATCATTAATTTTATGAAATTCAGCTAAGAAAATAAGAAAAGACATATATATTCTGATCATTTAAAATCAAATTCTTGAACCTGAGCTCATTCATTGGGTTTAGCCCAATGTTAAACAAGATACAGGTGAATGCAACTTTATTTCATTACATAAATGTATGGTCATCCTAGGTAAGCTTGCTCTCATTACGTCTAATTAAAATAATCATTATTGCATTGACATGACTCTTTCTTGACACCTACCACCTTAGGTTAGAGGAGGCCTTCCTGTATTACGTATCAGTAACAACAATCTGTTACAATAAACAAACAGGATCCTTTTAATGACACTGACTAGTCATTTTCTTTGTCTTCATTTCATCTGAAAACTTGGATTTCTGACCAGTGTAGAGTTCCACAGGGAACTCATGAATTCTACAAAGGCAGCAGAAAGATAGCATTGCCCCAGAGGGTAATGAGTCCCCAAATTTCACCATTTGGTAATATATCTAGATATAGGATTTCTTGTTTTTAGGAGCTGAGGATGGTATAGTCCACTGCCTCGCGTGCATGTAAAAGTTGGACATTAAAGAAAGAAGACTGCAGAGTCACTGCATCTGAATTGTGGTTCTGGAGGAAACTGTTGAAAGTAGCAGGAGCAGCTAACAGGACGAACTGATCTGTCTGGAAGAAGCATGGCCAGAGTGCTCCCGAGAGGCCAGGAGGGCAAGGCTTCATCTTCCGTCCTCTGGACATAGTAGTATCAGGAGAGAGCAGACCCTGGGGAGGGCTTCATGCTTGGCAAAGTGAAGGGGGAATTGAAAAACAGGCGGGCCTTCAAGGAGATGGATTGACACCATGGCTGCCACACTTAGCTCAGGCACGGGAGCCATGGTGAGGATGGCGAAGGACCTGACAGTGTTTAGTTCTCTTGTGCTGTGGGTTGCTGTGGGTTGCAGCCAGAACCATGGCGACTAACAGCATGATGGGCACAGTGTGGCTGGCACTTACAATTGCTATCCATATATATTTTATAGCATAATGTTTTTGTTTAAATTTAAAAAAAATTAGTAGTCGAACACTTTGGGGGCTCCTCATTGTCCCTGATTGCACACAAAGAGACCCTGCCTCGCTTGCGGCACTTGGTTGCCTCTCCTATGTGCTTTCAGCCCCTTCCCATCTCACCCGCCCTTCATTTGACATGTCATTCTGTAAGTCGATGCTGGTCAACAAGAAGCCTAACTTAGTTTCCTCCAGTCCGGTTGAGCTGTCCCTCCTATTGTCCTTTCCACAACTGATGCTCGCCTCTAATACAGCATTCATTTATTACAACCGAGCATCGGACCCTGTTCTAGAAACTGGAGATACAGTGATGAGCAACAAAGAAAGGGTGTCCCTGTTTACAAAAGTCCTCTTCCATTTGAGGGTGATAAACGGTGCTGGGAGTCAGCCAGTTCAAACCGGTTTGGCAGAATGGATAACGAATTGTCCCCCAACAGTTTTATTGCCTTTAAAGTCTCATATCCTAAAATTCAATCGTTCAGTCACAATCAAGAAGAGTTGTACAATCTCCTCCCTGGGAGACAGACAACCAAAAAGTGGGTGAAGGGAGACGTCGGGCAGGGCAAGATATGACAAAATACCAACTTATAAACTATCAAGGGCTCATGCGGGAGGGGGGAGCGGGGAGGGAGGGGGAAAATGAGGACCTAATGTCGGGGGGTTAAGTGGAGAGAAAATGTTTTGAGAATGATGTACAAATGTGCTTTACACAATTGATGTGTGTATGGATTGCGACAACAGTTGTATGAGCCCCTGATAAAATGTTTAAAACAATAAAATAAAATTGGGGGGGAAAAAAAGAAGAGGTGTACAATCATCACCACCATCAGTTTTAGAATACAGTGAACCCTCGTTTATCGCGGTTAATCGGTTCTAGGCCCTACCGTGATAAATGAAATTCCGCGAAGTAGGATTCCTTATTTGTAAATCAAATATTTTCGTAGTTAGAGCATAGAGGACATGAAAAAACACCCTTTAGTCACCATTACACTCGTATTACCCAATTTATTAAACGAAAAAGGGAAAATACTGTCAAACATTTTGGACGTTACAATGATCATTTATTATTTATTATCTTATTGATGGCATCAAGCGTGTACAGTATGAGCCAATCAGTGGCAGTCATGACAGAGCATGCGCTGTGACGCAAAAACCGCGATATAGTGAAGCCGCGGAAGTCGAAGCGCGAAGTGGCGAGGGTTCACTGTATTTTTGACACCTAATTTTTGGTTGGGTTCGGCGGACCAGTCGTTCAAATGGCACTTATTTTCAGTGTTCTCTGTAACGTGGCTGGGCAGCCGCCGGAGATGAAAATCACAAGTTGACATTCCGTACTCTTTTTTAACATCCATCTAAGAAACAGCATATTCTGAGCACCAGTGGGAATGGTCATTCCATTCACAGGTATAAAAATTTAAGACATAACTTGCAATGTTCATGTATTCTTTTCATAAAACTCGCTATACTTTTGAGGAAATACGACATTGCGATCCTCTTGTGTGTGCTGTGTCAGTGAACTGACAGGTCATGTAAAGAGGAAAAGTGCCGGACTACCAGAGGATGACTCGCTGCCATTCATTTCGGCTTTGTGTTATGTAAATCCCCACCAAATATGATGAGTGAATTATGCGATTCCTGACAGTGTTCAAAGAGCTAAAGATAGTCTCAAAGCGATTGCTGCAAGTTCGGCAGAAGGGAAAGGGTTTTTGCAAGCACGAACATAATACGTTCAGAGAAGAAAAGTCACTCGTTTCTACTACAGCAAACACAACGACTATGGTCTAATTGGCCTACCTCTTCAGGAATGGGACTCTACTCCTGTAGTGAAAAGATGGTTAAAGATGAAGCACACAGCTGATGATCAGATAAGAATATTGTAAGTGGGACTTCAATCAAGAAGCAATGTGGAAATATCTTAAATAACAGTTTGGTTGTTTTGGTCAGGTATTATTTAGTAGTGTTCTCATTAATATTTTAAAACTCATAATCTAGTTTTCTGTACCTTTTTTGTTGTTCTTATTTAAGTATTGACTGTTTAAAAATAAGTGCCTTTTGGTATATTATTTTTTACACTTAAAATGGTCACTAAGTCACTGAACCTCTTGTTAAATTATTTGAATCCCACCAAGAGTGATAGGCGTGAGGCTAACAGATACATGAACATGGTCCCTTCGGAGTGAAAAGTAAGCAAAAGGAAGCAAGTGCTGTAATACATGACAGAATTTTGCATGGGGTGAGGGCAGGGGTGAATTTTCTCTAGATCGTCTGAAAAGACGTTCTCTGGAGGGGACTTAACCCAGCTGACACCTGGATAAAATGCGAGAGCATCTAAGACCAGAGGCAAGGTCAAGTGCCCAGGCATCAAGATGGACATGAGCTTGAAGGTTCTAGGGAAAAAGGGATTGGGGCGAAAGGAGAGCTGGGGCCCAGGAGGTGGGAGAGATCAGGGCAGAGGCCAGAGCACAGGAAAACCATAGCCAATAGTCTGAATCTAAATGTAACAGGATTTTAAACAGAGGCATTCTAATTGGGGCCTTAAAAGATCTTTCTTGGTGCTATGAAATAATTTTAAAACTGTTACCTAACTGTCCCTTCCACTGGGTGATATATTCCTTAGCAAATGGTACCAGATCTTTGCTATATTATCTAGAGTGCTTGGGTACCATTCCTGTCACATGATACTTTGAAACAGTGACATCACTAAGGGACATAGGGGGTGCCCACTGTACCAGGTGACGCTGTCAGAAGAATCTTTCGTTAAAAACTTATAATTAATAAAAATAGGCCTGGAATGACTTATAACAACAAAGACATTTTTCACAATCTAATTTATATGGATCAATGTATCTCTCAGACGAAAACTCTGCTAACTGACTTTTTGAGCTTTCTAATGTGGTCCTGGGTTCTGTAGTAGGCTAATTTCAGGGTCCGTTGTTCCAACCCCCCAGCCTCCCTGGGAGAAAGATGAAGCTGCTTTTCACAAGGAGTTACAGCGTCAGAGATGTGGGGAGCAGTTACACTTCTTCCTGTGGGTCGCAATCAGTCAGAATTGACTCATTGGCAGTAGGGTTTTGATTTCAATGTGCCCCAGTCACAGCTAACACCATTACCCAATTGACAGTGATGCTTTGAATCAATCACATTGTTTCATGTACACATGTTGCAAACACACATTGTTGCTTTTATTGGTGTGGTTATTTTGACAGTCATTGATTTTGTCAACATTTCTGGGTTTTTCACCACCATATTGTGAGGATTCGTATTCTTGAAGCTTTACCAATAACTCTTTTGAGAATGAAGTAGTAATGAACAAAAATGAAAGAAAAATCAAAAGAGACTTCTACTTAGTTGCTAATAATGTTGTCACCAATAACGTGCTACAATAGAAATTTCACAAAAACCACTGGTTGTTAGTATTTATATAGTCTAATAAACATCTCACTTCAGCAATTTATAATTATATTTACCACATGTTAATCTCTAAGATTGATACCAAACATCACAAGGATTCTGTGTGGTCCACTATGGGAAGAATTCCATGGGGGCTGGGGGTGAGATCATGAGTTAGGGCACTGGGTGACTCCAACCATAGTGATGCCATTTTCAAAATAAATAACTTGCTGAACAAGCAAATGAGTAAGCTGCTAACTCCTGGTGAATGAGGAACCAAAGTGTGAAGTGTTCCCCCGAGTCCTTTCACTGGTGGTGAAGTTTCACATCACTGGAGAAGCACCCAAATGTATCTGACTCTATAGTCCAAATAGATCGGAAGGGGTGACTCATATATGCTTAGCAGCACTAACAAGAGCTCATGTCAGCAGGGTACTAACAGAGTTAGTACCAAAAGAGTTCCTCCACAGACTATACATCTAGCGCCCCCCCCCCACATAACATTTCTTTAATATGCTAAAATGGCAAAATACTGAAAAATTTTTAAGTGGCAAAATACTAAAATTCAAACCCAAATCAATGGTACCAGGATGGGTCAAGCATCAAGTTGCTTAGGAAATGCACTAAAGAGATTTCTATTCCCAAGTCTGCCTTTTCCCTAAAGCATGCCTGGCTCCGTGGGTATCATAAAAGACGCAGGTTGATGCCTGGGGGTTGACAGGAAGGGGAAGCAGAGACCATGGCATGTGTTTCCACTACAATTAAAGCTCATCACGCTCCACACGGAACCTTACTGCCACCTCTCTGCCTGCCGATGCACTGAAAACAAGCGCATACTTACAGAGACTTGACTTTCATCTGGGGGCCCACTTTCTCGTGCATTTTGATCAAGCGGCTATTGCTGTATATGAACATTCCAACTTGGCTTCGATTTTCTACGCTCACTCCATAGAACAAGGGAAGCGTTTTTGCTTGTTTTAATTCTCTAGAGGAACATTTAGAAAAGGTATGGAGAAAAAAGATTTTATTAAATAACACAATGAAGTTATAAGATGGCTAATAAACTTAGAAGGCAAACATTAAAGAGGTGATCTATAAAATACGTGTAGATTTTGAGGAAAAAAAACTGGAGAGGTGCACACAGTATCTTTATTTAGCTAAACGGCCTTCATAATCATGCTGGACAATAAATCTATCAGCAAAACACAAACATTCACTGATATAAAAGCAAGATTGCTGTTTTGTAGCCAATGGTAGAAATTGTACAATTATGCTTGATGTAATTGAATTATGGACTGTTAAAAGATCTGTAAGAGCTCCCAATAAAGCGGGGAAAAAATAAATAAAAATGAGATTGCTTATTCAAATTTACAAGAACATTCTGTAATATTAAGTGATCTAATGAGCACAGTACAGTATTTTTGAGAAATGATGATTTGAATATTTTAAAATTTAAGTTAAAGTCTTAAGTTTCAAAGTGTTTTTGAGACTTCATGTGTTCTAAAGAATGGTTAGAATCTACCCCCACTATGTATTTTTCTTTAGTTTTCTAACTTTTCTAAAATGAAATGTCACTAAAAGTTAACAAAGCAAGCTTACAAGGGCAACAGATATGAGCCCCAGTTTTTCTGACTCTGTCCTGCTGTACTAGGTTTGGTGTGACTCTCTGATTAAATGTACAGAAATAGAAATTGGGAAATAGTAGAATGTGATGGAAACAACCAGGCAGAAGAGATTGCTGGGGCTCAAAACGTGCCTGCATATACGCACCAGAAAGACACATTCAGCTTCCAATGCTCGCTCAGCATCTGATGACTACGGATTAGCCAACTAAAATTTCTAACCTTCTCTACAAAATGGGAATCACACCTACTTACCGACCTGAGGAGGAGTTCTGGCAGCTTAGTCGTTATGCATTGGACTACTAACCTCAAGGTCACCAGTTTGAAACCACCAGCTGCTCCAAAGGAAACCGATCAAGCTTCCTACTCCATAAACAAGCCGGGGGCAGTTCTACCCTCACAGGGATGCTAGGATGTGGAAATGGCTCGGTAGCAGTGAGTTTGGTTTTCCTTACTGTTTGGGAAAGGGTCCCTGACAGATACAAATAGCTAAGCACTGGACTACTGACTGAAACGTTTGCAATCCAAACCCACTCAGAGTCACTTCAAATGACAGGCTTGTTCCAATACTCCCAAAGGGCTACAGCTTTCAAAACCCTGAAGATCAAGTTCACCCTGTAACTTGGGGTCGCCATGTCAGAACTAACCTACAGCAACGAATAACAACCAACTTGGGATGTTGTGAGGAAGAAAAGAAACACCTTAACCTAGGGCAGCCCGGGGGCTCAGCTTAACACGTTTACGTCTTTCCCTAACCAAAAAGAGTACCACGCACAATTCTTCCACTCGCCCTAGAGCTGCCTCTCCCCCCAACTTGACTTTTGTTTTGAGATTTATGACTACGTGCTAGTCCAACTGACACGATACAATTAATGGACGGATTAAATACATCTATTATTAAAACAAAAAAATACAAACTTGTTGCCATCAAGTTGCTGCTGATCCTCAGTGACCCAATAGGACAGGTAGAAGGGCCCCTGTGAGCTTCTAAGACTGCAGCTCTCTACAGGGACATAAAGCCCCATCCTTCACCCACAGAGCCACTGGTGGTTTGGAACTCTTGAACTTGCAGGTAGCATCCCAACTCGGAACCACTGAGCCACCAGGGCTCTCTATTATTAAAAGACATTGATAGATTTCTATCAGTCCTTCTGACTTTTGCAGGAGGTTACTGATTATATGTTAAGATATTAAGTATTTATTAAATCCAGTACAGCTAAGGTTAAATATATGAGTCAAATGTTTCCTTAGAAGTCTCTACTAAATAATTGAATGCCAGCCCCTCAAAAACACACTAAATGTAAACAAGTTTCCAGGCCACAGTGCTAATGGATATGATATAATCATTACACAATATTAAATAGATACTATCTCTAAATTTAAAAAGGAAGAAAAATAAAACATGTTTTAAAAGAAAGTTTATGTCCACTCTCATGATTCTTCATAAAATATAGCTTGGTCATTTTTAATACATATCATTATGATTGCAAACAAGTCCTCAGAAAGACTGATCTTTTTGAAGATTTAGGGAAGACTTTATCCTTATAATAAAAATTAGTAGGATACTTATTTAAGATTATTTTGATACATGCATAAACAAAACCTCACATTTTAATTTTTAAGACATGTTATAGTTATATGGGATTGCAAAGTTCACAAAAATACTGAAATCTAATCATGTGTCCCTATGTAATAGTTTCTCAACGTTATCACATAATTTATAGGAATAGCTGTGGTTAGTTTCAGGTTAACTTGTTTAACATCTGAGTTGGAGAGCAAGCTAATTTACAGACACAATTACCTTTACTCTGTTGGCTTACTACTTCGAGTTTATGAACTAGATTTAAGGGCTAAGATCTTTGCTTTAAATGTTAACTTACTAAAACAAATAAATGAGCGGTAGGTTGTGAGAAGAGAGAGGACACTGGGACCAGTCATCCAAAGGTTTTAAGTGACAAAGGCCATGACAGGAAAGTGCAGCGATCTGCTGATCCTTTGGGCAGGTCACTCCCTGCAGATGTTTGCATCCAGGCCAGCCAGATGCAGACCGAATTGTGCACAATAGACACAGAAGTTTTTATTAAATACTGGACCCTGACCCTGCTAGTTGGGGAGCTTTGAGCACATCCCTCCTAATATTCTAAGACATTGCAAGTTAAGAAAGAGAACTTGTCAAAATAATAACAAAATCTGCCTATTTAGAAGTCAGAATTTGTTTTATCCTAACAAGATTTTTGCGAACAGAACTCTGTCTTACCTCTGTTTCTCTTTAAGGGTCTTAAGCTTTTCTTCCACATCTTCTAATGCTTGTCGTAATGCATCCTGGAGAAGTTCATTTGGTGAGGAGAGAACACGATTTCATTAAATTAAAGGAAGTCAAAGTGACATTTATTATCCTATATCCAAATGTTTCCAGGGCAACAGGAATAGGCCCAGTAGACTAACAAGATTATACTCAGAATGTGCCCAATAAATATCTGATAAATCATCATTGTTTCAATATTTAAGAGGATGTTCACATATTCAGATGCACACTACATATTATGGAGAGAGAACCTCTAACTCCCCGCGATGGCACAATGTCTTTGACACAAAACGTAGTGAAAACACAAAGAAAGAAGCATTCAATGTACCAGGTTCTGGTTCTGTCTCTGAATGCAAAATGCCAAATTATGCCATCTTGACGGCTACTATTCGAGAAAAAAAATGTAATTAAAAAATTGTTAAATTTTAAAATGTTCTCTTTTAATACCGTTTATTTGGGTCTTTGGGGAGCTATAATTGGAACAGATATTTTCAAAGAGATTCGATCATTCAGTTTTTCCACTGGCTGATTATTCTCTCATCTTTTCCTATTACTTCTCCTTTCCCCTCAAGCAAATTAGTCGTGATGCTCTTCTCGACAGTTTCAATCCCATACCATGTTGTCTTCGTCTTTGCTCTGTTTCCGCCTTCTCCCCATGGGCTTCATGTCTTCCCTTTCTCTGCGCTCATCTGTTTTGTTTAGCTTTACCTAAGTCAACCTACCCTTCTGAGCTCATCTGTGGTTAAAAGTTTGGGAAGTCACATCTCTGCACAGGAAAAAGCCACTGGTAATATTTCCCATTTTTAAAGCCCACGTTATACCTCGGCAGGAGAAGATGAAGACGTTCTGTCGGATGTGTTGGCTTTGATTTGTGCTTCTTTCAACATGAGTTTAGCTGGAAGTAGAGACAAGGTAGAGATGGCATCGAAATGCTCTAAAACAATTTTATTTATTTTTTATTTTATTTTATTTTTCTACATTTATCATTTATTTTGTTTCTCATTGTTCTGTAAAATCCATACTTTCAATTGATTTCATTTTATTCCACTTTGAAAAGGTCCTATATTTCAGTAGCTTCGGTTTAGAGTTATGAATCTCTGCAGCTTTTTTTGGTTGTTTTTAAATATATATATTATATTCCTTTAAATATATATTTTAAATATGTCTTCTATTCTTTTTTTTTAACATTTTATTAGGGGCTCATACAACTGTTATCACAATCCATACACACATCAATTGTGTAAAGCGCATTTGTACATCATTCTCAAAACATTTTCTCTCCACTTAAACCCCCGACATTAGGTCCTCATTTTTCCCCTCCCTCCCCGCTCCCCCCTCCCGCATGAGCCCTTGATAGTTTATAAATGGGTATTTTGTCATATCTTGCCCTGCCCGACGTCTCCCTTCATCCACTTTTTGGTTGTCTGTCCCCCAGAGAGGAGGTCACACACAGTTCCATGTAATCGGTTCCCTCTTTCCTACCCATTCTCCCTCTACCCTCCCTGTTTTGCCACTCACACCACTGGTCCTATAGGGCTCATCCGTCCTGGATTCCCTGTATTTTCAGTTCCTATCTGTACCAGTGTACCTCCTCTGGTCTAGCCAGTCTTGCAAGATCGAATTCGAGTCATGGTAGTGGGAGCGGGGAGGAACCATTTAGGAACTAGAGGAAAGTTGTATTCTAAAACAATTTTAAACGAGCATTTTCTGTGGACATATCCACAACTGGGGCAAATGGCATACAAACCGTATTATCAGAAAATCTTTTGCTTCTTTCATAGAATTCTAAGTTGAGACAGCTATGCTAAGTTTCTGTTAAGCATGATAATGTGTAGGCTAAATATATCCATGCAAATCCAAAATCATGTGTGGATTTTTGGATGAACGCAACATCTGTGATATGTGGAAAAAGCGATAGTGCTCCTGGGTCAGGATCATTTGTCCCTGCCATGTGGGTGGCTAAGTACAACATCCCCTCCTAAAATTGGAGCAACCCAGGTGTCTAAAATGACGAACTCATCAACATGACAACTAGGGTTTCCAATCAATATTCATCTAATTTGGAGTATGTTCTGTAACATAATAACGGTAACAAACGGCATTACAATGAAGCAAAACTAGAGATGTAAAGATGTGTTGTGAAGGTCTTTCACGACAGTCACTCCTTCTCATTAATTACGGAAGTTCTACACTGCTTAGAGCAGTACGTGGCTCAATAAAAGTGCTCAGTGAATATTTACTGGAAGAATACACAAGGAAACAGTGAAGAATGGCAGCCACATACCAAACTTGACAGCTTCTTCCGCTTTTTTAACTTCATTTCTAAATGTTCCTCGAAAAGAAGCTGTAACATACAAGTACTTCCTGGAAAGAACAAAGAAAGAAGAAAGAATCAAGTTATATTATTTGTCTAACGCATACACTGTGAGCATAGTCTTTAAAAGGCTGCATGTTGTAAAGTCACTGCTGTAGAGGCAATTCAAACACATAGGACACATGAATGTCCCATAGGATTTCCGACGTGTAATTTTTGCAGAAACGAAGTGTCACATCTTTCTCCCCTCTAGCAGTTGAACCACAAACCTTACAGTGAGCAGTTGGATGCTGTAATCATGGCACCAGCAGGGCCAACCTACAAACACCAAAGATATGCAATGATTAAAGAAAAAATAATCAGATAAGTCATAGCCACTGGTAAACACCAAAATTTATTTTGTTTTCTTTAACAGTTTTATGGGCAAATCATCCATATGTCATACAGTTCATAATTCAATCATATTAGGAAGAAAATTACCTACATTTTCTTCTTCCTTGTACTGATTTTTATTCGTGTCATTTTTTTTAATTGTGGCAAAAATATACACAACTAAACATCTTCCAATTCCACAACTTCTACATGTAAAACTCAGTGCCAGGGATTATACTCTTTGAGTTGTACAACCATTATTGATACCTGTTTCCAAATTATTCCCCCAGCATTAACATAAACTCGATGCTTCCTAAGCAACAACTCTTTTTCCTTCACCCATGGTAACCATTGGCCAAGTTTGGTTCGTTTTAGTAGTTTTCTTGGTATAATATTCACATATCATACATTCCCATATTTCAATTGCTTTTAAAGAGAGCTTTATGTACATCATCGCAATCAGTTCTAATGCTCCCTCTCCCCTCTGGCATCCATTGTTCGCACACACACCCCTCCCGCCCGCCCCC